ACAAATTTCCGATCTTTCTTACACACACAACACCAATTTACATGAATTTGATGCTTTCATTTTCAATGACAAGTATCTTGCCATGAGTTGTTGACAAAAAACAAAAAACAAAAAACATTAACCACCACAACCACCTTAGATTAGATAGAGCCCTAGATATCCAAATGCCTCTGTGTATCACTCTGTATATAAAAATAAAAATTCAGAAACATTCAGAAAATTAATCCCAAAATAATTCTGAAGATTAATCACTCTGTGTATCACTCTGTTTATGTTAAAGGAATAGTTTTGGTTGTCATAATATTTAGAAAATTTATATAAACATTCAACTAAGAAGTTTTAAACTATAGAGACAAAATAAAAATAGAGCAGATTGTTTGAATAACCTGAAACCAACATTTGAATAACCTGTTCACAACCTTAAAATAACCTGCTCACAACCCGATAGAGAGAACGCATAACAGCCCAAGAAATTGCGAGAAAGTGACAGAAAATAGTAGAAAAATAGGGATCTGATAAACGACCTCAGAACTTAGAACTCAGAAATTAACAGTAGATCAATTGAAAGATATAAAGACAGAAATATTACCTTGCACAGATAGAAGACTCAAGTTTGGTGTAGCTCTGAAGTAGCTCTACCAGAGAGCTCCAATCGGGGTTCAGAAAGGTATCGCGGTTCTTAATCGAAAACCCGGGTTATGAAAGGGTGAGGGGAGAGGCAGCGAGAGGCAGAGATCGGGTGGAGAGGGAGAGACAGCGAGCGAGCGAAAGGGTGGGGGGAGAGGGGGAGAGGTAGCGAGCGGGAGGATGGGGGGAGAGGAGGAAAGGCAGAGATCAGGTGAGAGAGAAGGAGACGTGGAACAGAGAAGAAATAAAGATGGAATGGGGGAGGAGACGTGGGTAGGTGGGAGAGAGCACCGAGTGTCTGGGCGGGAATTGAAGCAAAATCTCAACCATTGATGTATATCACAATTGATCTGAGCCCTTAAAATGAAATGTATCTCACATACATTTTATACATTTTTAAAAACCTTCATCCCTTATTATATAGATATATATATATATATATATATTAGCATATGCCCGTACCTAAAGGTACGGTATAAATAATGTTAGGATTAAAATATAATTGTAATCTCAAAACTATTTAAATTTATTTTTTAATTTGATAAATTCACAAATTTATTATAAAATTTTGGAGTCCTCATAAAATTCCTCACGAAAACTCATTTTTGCATTTACAATATATAGCTAGATCAAAAGATGTGCCTGGCATATATACAATTTCCACGGGCATACATATAATAATGTTTTTGCTTATATAATTATATGAAAATTGTATGTATGCCCGTAACGTCCTAGTGCATTACGGGCATAAATACATTATACGAAAATATGGGTAAAATATATTAAAAAATAAAAAATAAAAAATAGGCCTTACATTATAAGTGACGTACTTAAATTTATAAGAAAAAAAAATTTGACCAAAAATAATGATATTATCCATAACTGTTGTATTTCAACCTAAAATTGTTTGGTTATATAAATTTAGACACCAAGAAACAAAAAATTAATAGTATTAAATCACTTGTATATTCTTGAGAATTTTCATGCAACCTTAAAAAAAAATTAACAACCATATATGATAGTCAAATGTTTTTTTCAAATCACTTGGTATCAAATGGGATAATAAAATCCAATCAAGAGGAGAAAAAATAAAAATATAAACATCTAATAGATTTGTTTAGTCAAGAGGAGAAGAAATAACAATATAAACAGCTAAAAAAAAAAAAGTCAACCCAATGTTTACAATAATTTTTTTTAATCTTCATTTCATTGTTTACAATAGATGTACTTTAGCAATCACATTAAAACCCTTTCTAAGGAAAAAAGAAATATTTAAAATGAGAAAATTAAATATTAAAACCAGCCTTAGCAACATGAAGAATATTAATGGTATTAGAAATCAGAGCACAACAACTGTCCAAGTTTGGACCCTTTCCCCACTGACTCCAATTTTATAAAGATGAAATTGAAACCAAAATCAAAACCCATTATAATTATAGGTATTTTGATTTCATCATAGACATATTGCAATCCATCAATGTAGAGAGAAATATGTAAAGAGAGAAAATGTAAAGCCATTACATTTGCAACTCCAAAAGACTTGTTTAGATACCCCTAATTTCTTTAATTAAACAATTATCAACCAAATGATGGTTTAAAAAAATGGCATGATTTCAATTTCTTTAGTTAAACAATTATCAACCAAATGATGGTTTAAAAAAGAAAATAGCATGATTTCATGACAACCCATAATCGACCACTATATTTTCCTATTGATCGCTCGATTCAGTAACTGTAATGATTATCAAACTTTTTTATGGATAATAGGAAACTTGAGAGGGGGATTCATAATCTGGCTTTGGGCCGTGGTAGAGGCTGGACAGAAAAGAGGTTCGAGCGCGTTTGGGCCGAGCTAACTTGGGCTAATCCCAAGTGGGTTTGCTCGGTTGAGGTCCAGGGCCCATTCGACCAGGATGATCGTCTGTCAACCCGGGCTTATTGTTCGCGCATGTAGCTCAGCGGAAAGGTCTCCCTTGGACCGGCCTAACCTGTCTGGAGCTCGACCGTGCTGGAATGCTACTAAGCTTGGTTGTGATGGAGCTCGGCAAGTGGCACTGTGGGACTCGTTAAGTAGCTCGGTCGAAGGTGGCCGAGATGATTCCGTCGGCCTGCCCGTTCCCGCCAATGCCGGTAGCGGTTTGATTAGGTGGTGTTTAGCTGAATTTGCGCTGACAGATAGGAGAGCAGCTCCACGTATCAATAAGCGAATGGATGCAGAGATGAGCGCAGAAAGTATATAAGTATGACTGCGTCCCCCCATGCTGGGCATGGAAAATCAATTGGTGAGAGAAATTCTAGCGCTCAACCTGCTCCTCTCTCTCTCTCTCTCTCTCTCTCTAAGTGTGTGCTAACTTGACCGTTGGAGGGGTTTTCCGGTAACACACCGCCGGGTAGCTCATCGCCGTCGTATTTGTAGGTTAATCGGATAGAAACAGAGCTTGGACGCAAGGAGTACGGATAGCAACAAATATTTCCTCCCTGTACAATTGGCGTCGTCTATGGGAAACTTTGCAAACACAACCTTGTCCTCCAAGCTCATCGGATCGTCTTCCATGGCAAACAACGATGAAATCCCGTTATCTGCCATTGACGGTATTACCCCAGAGTCAGCCAGACGGAGAGACGGACTCCCCGCCGTTCCGAACATGGCGAACCTGGAGACTTCCCCAGGAGGACTTCCAAGAGATGCACGAGATAAGCGCGCCAGAAGCTTTGGTCACTCACGGAGCCCGAACGAACACCGGCGGCGAAGAGAGTCGCACGCTCGACGCCTGGAGCACAAGTTAAGGGACAAAGACGCCGTCATCCAGAGAATGGCAGCAGAGATGAAAGCTCTCAAACAGCAGGTCAAAGGGAAGGGCGTTGCTGGAGTGGGAGACCACAATGAGCGCACCCAGCCCCGCCGCTCAGGCTGCCAGAGCCAACGGCACACCCCCTCCCTTTCCATCACCAGAAACTATAGGGTTGGAGACTCAGACGCGCCTGCAGAAAAGTCTAGCACGCAAGATAGTACCTACCATTCCTCACGTCCATCGACGACGTTGAGATATTCCTACTTCGTTCGTTCAGAGGACTTAAGGGACGTCTTGAAGGAGTGAGAACGCCGGCGGGAGGCTCAAAGGGTGCTGGCGCTCCAGCGGTTATCCTACAGAGGTCACCATAGTGAGGAGGTTATGATGCCGCCGCCCCGTTTGGCCGTGCCAGTCCCTTTGGACACAGATTTGGCGAGGTTGAACACCTCCCCCTTCTCCCTTGAGATAGAGACCACGCCGCTCCCAACAGGCATTCACCCGTCCAAGTTTACGCTTTATGACGGAAAAAGCGATCCATACATGCATGTGAGCCACTTATGGTAGGTCATGGCAGGACACAGGCGTAACGATGCTCTCATGTGCCTAATTTTCCCATCGAGTTTGGGCGAGTTGGGCTTGAAATGGTTTGAGAGGCTCCCAGAGGAAAGCATCGAAATGTGGCAGCAGTTGGCAGAAGCATTCGTGACTCGATTCAAAACTAACACCAAAACACCAAAATAAGTGGACCACCTCCTCACCGTCAAGATGGAGTCAAGCGACACCCTCAAAGCATACAGCGCCAGATACTGGGAAATCTTCAACGAGATCTTGGATTGCCTGACTAACCTAGCAATCACCCAATATAAGCGTGGTCTCCCAGTCGGACATAGACTGAGGGAATCGCTTACAATGAACCAGCCGACTTCCATGGGGCAATTGATGCAACGCATCAATGAGCACATCCGAGTAGAGGATGATGCAACGGTATCCACCGTGAAGGTAAATCCTGTGGCAACGGACAAGAGGGCGGCTGGGAAAGTACATGCGGTCAGATAAGAGACAAACCGTCTGAATTACCGCGCAAGAGAGTCAGACCGTGGACCTGACCGTAGAAACCGAGGTAAAGGTCACCGCAGTGACCTAACAGAATACCCCCGCGATGATGCGGCAGATGCAAACAGAAAGCTGAATGCTCGAACAAAAATCACCACAGTTTTTAAGATTCTAATTTATCGCATACTTAGTGAAATCCGCGATAAGGATTACGTCCAGTTTCCCGCCAAGTTAGGCGATGCGCAAAAGGGTTTCAATCCGCGGTACCGCTGCACATTCCATAGAGAGCGAGGGCACCGGACGGAGGACTGTTTGCCCCTAAAGCAACACTTGGAGGAGCTAGTCACAGCCGGCCACTTAGACCTTTATATCGATGGGGGCGTTAGAGCTGCGCACCATACCCCGGCTGATCCAAGTGGTTCGGATGACCTAGAGGCCCCCCCTCAAGGAGTGGTCAATGTGATTCACGGCATTGTGGAGCCAGCACGGGAATGCGAGCTTTGAGGGATAATAAAAAAGGCAGAGCATATGAGGGAAATTTTGTCAGTTCAGCCCGCAATCAAAAGGGGCAAGACCGAGGAGAAAGATGTGATTAGTTTCTTAACTAGGGACCTTGAGTGCATTCAAACGCCTCACAACGACGCCCTAGTGGTCACCCTCCGCGTCAGAGACTTCGATGTTAAGCGTATCTTGATTGACCAAGGAAGCTCGGTTGAGATCATGTACTATGACACTTTTAAGCAGCTCAAACTTCGGGATATAGATTTGGCTCCTGCAACTTCGCCATTAGTTGGTTTCAACTCACAACCGGAGTGGACGATGGGAAAGATAATTTTACTAGTCAAAGCCGGATCCGTGGTCAAGCAGGTAGAGTTCTGGGTATTGAAGGTGCTGTCCACATACAATCTGATCTTAGGTAAGGGATGGCTTCACGCTATGCAGGCTGTAGCGTTAACCTACCACCAGGTTATGAGGTTCCCCTCGGCTATGGGGAAAGTTGAGGATATTTGGGGCGATCAAGTCATTTCGAAGCAATGTTTCGTGACAGTGAATGGGAGCAGAGCTGCCAAAGGCTTCGTGCAAATGATCGAAGGTCCAAAAGGCCAAAGTGTCCTTGAAAACGTTGGCACCAGGGCCGAGGAAAAGGTTGTTGAAGAATTGGTAGGAGTGCGGATTGACACAGAAAATCCTAACAAGTTCTTTTTGCTAGGGTCAAGCCTGACCGCCCAAGAAAGGACTGAGATGGTAGAGTTCTTGATGGCCAATATTGAAGTCTTCGCATGGACGCCATACAACATGCCTGGCATTGATCCAAGCTTGATCTGCCACCAACTCAATGTTTTCCCGGATGCACGTCCCGTCATTCAAAGAACGAGGAGATCGGCCCTTCATCAGGCCGAGGTAGTCGCGAAGGAAGTGAGGAACCTGCTAGAAGCAAGGGCCATCCAGGAAGTGCACTACCCTCGGTAGGTTTCAAACACGGTCGTAGTGCCCAAAAAGAATGGAAAATGGCGAGTTTGCGTTGATTACAAGACGGTCAACCGAGCTCGCTCTAAAGACAGCTTTCCTCTGCCTAGAATAGACCAACTAGTGGATCATACGGCTGGGAATAACAGGCTCAGTTTTTTGGATGCCTATCGCGGTTATCACCAGATCGCCATGCATGCTCCCGACCGCGAGATAACCTCTTTCACGACCCCAAGGGGACTGTTCTGCTATCGAGTCACGCCTTTTGGTTTGAAGAACGTTGGGGCGACTTTCCAAAGAATGGTGATCAAAATGTTCGCTCCCCTACTAGGCCGGACGATGGAGGCTTACATCGACGATATGGTGGTCAAAAGCAAGCAGGAGGCCGACTACTTACCCGACTTAGCCGAGGTGTTCGCCATTCTTAAACAGCACAAGCTTCACCTGAATGCGTCAAAGTGTGCCTTCGGCGTGGGATTCGGGAAATTCCTGGGCTTCCTAGTCACAAATTGAGGCATCGAAGTAGACCCCTCACAAATCAAAGCCAAACAAGAATTGAAGCAGCCCAACTCAGCGAAGGACGTGCAACATCTTGCCGGTATGGCAGCCGCGCTTAACTGATTCATAAGCCGGTCATCAGATCGTTGCCGTAATTTCTTTAGAGCCTTGAAGTCTAAGTTTTCTTGGGACGAGGAATGTGATAGGGCTTTGGCCAAGCTCAAGACGTATTTATCTTCCTCCCCACTATTGGTGACACCTAAGCCTGGCGAAGAACTCTACCTTTATCTGGCAGTTTCTCAACATGTAGTTAGTGCGGTGCTTGTCTGATCGGAGGGCATCCAGCATCTCCCTATCTTTTACGTGAGCAAAACCTTGCTGCCGGCAGAGTCGAGGTATTTGCCACTGGAAAAACTTGCTTTGGCGCTAATGATGGCTTCTCAAAAATTGGCGCATTACTTCCATGCTCACACAATCGTAGTGTTGATCGAATTTCCTCTAAAGGCCTTGTTTGAGTGGGTAGATTTCTTCGGTAGAATTTTGAAGTGGGTAGTCGAATTGGGGCAATTCGACATCAAGTTTCGACCCCGAACTGCCATCAAAGCCCAAGCCTTAGCAAACTTCATTGCGGAATTCTTGCTTGGAACTCACTAGGTATGCCCGGTGGATCTTACCGTGGTAGTCGAGATGACGAATGAAGGCTCAACAGAAATAGCACAACGGAATGATGTTGGCGACGCGGAGCTTGCGCGCCCATCCATAGAAACTTCAGTCGGAATTGTACCCCAGCTTGGCAATGTGACGATGGACTTGGGAATAATTAACTAACCTGTTGGGTCTGGAGCCGCATCGCCAAGGAAGGATGAAGACATATCTGTCGAAACCATCAACGACGAGTTTGCAACAGACATAGCCGAGCAGCCAAGCGACCATGATGCCATCAACCTATAGGCCTCCCAGGATCCCGCAGAAAGTTGGAAGCTTTTTGTTGGCGAAATGTGAAAACTTTTCATAGATAGTGCCTCGAACCAGCACGGTGCCAGACTGGGCATTGTTTTGATCTCGCCCGACAGTCTAACCATCGAACACTCTATTGCATTCAGATTCCCAGCGTCAAACAACGAGGCTGAATACGATGCACTGCTGGCCGGACTTAGAAGCGCCCTCCAATTGCGCGCATCCGAGTTGATGGTATACAATGATTCCCAACTCGTCGTCAACCAAGTGTCTGGGATCTACAAATCCAAAGATGAAAGAATGGCCAAGTACCAAGCTCTAGTGAGAGAACATATCAAGAAATTCCAGGCAATTAGGGTCTAACCAATTGGCCGTGAAAAGAACAGCCAAGCAGACGAGTTGGCTGGTCTGGCTTCCATGTTCGACAATTCAACTCCCAATCCTCTCCTAATCGAGTTTCTCCCAAGGCCTAGTATCGAGGACTCTGCGCAAACGAAAGTACTCTACACCGAGCTTGGCCCCTCTTGGATGGATCCTATCATCCTTTTTCCTAAAAGAACGAATTCTTCCGACCGACAAGAAGGAAACACATAAAGTCCGGGTGAAATCAGAGCGGTTTTGGCTCTTTCCATCTGGTACTTTATATAAGAAGTCATTCACAGGTCCATACCTCAAGTGTGTTCATCCAAACAGCATGGAAGCTTTCCTGTACAAGATCCATGAGGGTATGTGCGGAAGTCACATCGGGGGGAGATCTTTGGCCTACCGAGCTATCTCGCAAGGATACTGGTGGCCATGCATCCAAGCGGATGCTTAGAAATATGCTCGAAAATGTGAAAAGTGCCAGAAGTTCGCCCACCAAATTCACAAGCCGGCCAGAGAACTTCTTCCCCTCACAAGCCCTTGGCCTTTTGTAATGTGGGGGCTGGACATAATGGGACCACTCCCAACGGCACTGGACAACCAGAAGTTCTTCATCGCGGCTACGGACTACTTCACCAAATGGGTTGAAGCTGAGCCTTTAGCGACTATCAAGGAGAAAGATGTCAAACGGTTTGTTTGGCAGAACGTGATAACGCGGTTTGGCGTCCCCAAGGTTCTGATTTCTGATAATGGTACCCAATTTGATGGGCGCCTGTTCAGAGGATTTTGTGAGGAATTGAAGATAGAATTATATAACTCCACCCCGGCTTACCCGTAGTCCAACGGCTAAGCCGAAGCATCGAAAAAGACCATTCTTGATGGGTTGAAGAAAAGACTAAAGAAGGCCAAAGGAAAATGGGCCGAGGAACTCCCAAGTGTCCTCTGGGCATATCGAACGACCCCGAGACGCTCGACCGGGAAAACTCCTTTTGCCCTAGCATATGGCATGGAGGCGGTCATCCTATTGGAAATCGGCATGCCCACCATCTGCAGGGAAAATTTTGAGCCCGAGTTGAACTCTGAAGCCATTGCCCTGGAATTGGACCTAGCTGACGAGCGCCGAGAAAAGGCTTTAATCCATGTAGCCGCATACCAACAGGAATTATCCAGAAAATACAACAAAACGGTGCACCCCAGATCGTTTAAAGTTGGAGACTGGGTTTTGAGGAAGGTGATGGGCAACACACTAGTGTGGGGCGAAGGCAAGCTAGGGGCAAACTGGGAAGGGCCTATAGGATAATCGGTCTGGCGGGCAAGGGGGCATACCACTTAGAGGACTTGGATGGCAAAGGCATACCCTGGCCATGGAATGCGGCTAACCTCAAACTGTATTATTTCTAGTATTTGTCTTTTTTTATTCAATTTTTTGTGGAAAGACTTAGTTTCCTTATACTTCTGAATGTAATACTCTTTTTGCCACGTGTAATAGAAGTAAATTATCTTTGCTGAAGAAGTTTGTTGTGTTCGAGGTAATGTAGTGATTGAAGGGCATACTCTCATGTTTTAGCCGAGATGATTTACCCCGGCTAATAGAGTTGATGTTTTGCTCATCTTAAGGCTCTAGCCGAGATGCTTTACCCCGGCTAATGGAGTTGATGTTTTGCTCAACTCAAGGCTTTAGCCGAGATGCTTTACCCCGGCGAATGAAGTTAATGTTTTGCTCAACTCAAGGCTCTAGCCGAGATACTTTGGCTCGGCCAATGGAGTTGATGTTTCGTTCAACTCAAGGCCCTAGCTGAGATGCTTTACCCCGGCTAATAAAGTTGATGTTTTGCTCAACTCAAGGCCCTAGCCGAGATGCTTTACCCCGGCTAATGGAGTTGATGTTTTGCTTAACTCAAAAGTTCTAGCCGGGATGACCTACCCCAGCTAGAAGAGTTGGTGATGTGTCCAACTCAAAAGGTTCTAGCCGAGATAACCTACCACGGCTAAAAGGGTTGGTGATTTGCCCAACTTAAAGGTTCCTGCCTAGATGATAAAATGTAGTACAATAAGCAGTGCAACAGTAAACGAAATGAGAACTTTTCATTGATGATAAACTATAGTACATATGGTGGGGCAAGAAGGCAGCTCGGTTACATTTCCCAGTTCAAAAAAGACACACACAAAAAAAAAGAGACTAATCTAAGGGGGAAAGGTCAACGAAGTCATCCTTGGTGCCCTCTGCAGCAGCCTCTAGGCCAACTGTGGAGGTAGTTTCACGGGCGCTGGAACCAACCTGGCCGGCCGCTTTTGGGCGGCCCGCTTCCTCGACGTCCGCGTCTTGTCCTACCTCTTCCTCGGCCTCCTCTTGCAGAGCGTTAAAGACTTCGTTCGCATATGGCACCATGTAGGTCGGGAGAAAGGCAGCAAGGGGAGAGGCAAACACCTCTGTTCCAGATCCTTGGCCGAGATGTTCATAGGCAGCCTTCCAACCAGACTTAAAGAATATGTCCTTGCTGGCCTCGACCTGCTTGGTGTAGTTATCCTCAGCCTCCTTGAAACCGAGATTGTTTGCAGCGTCCACTTCGTTTTTTCTTGATCGCTTTAGCGCTTCTAGCTCGGCTCAGAGAGCGTCTCTTTCTATGTCAGTGGACCCAAGTTGGCCAAGTAATTTGGAGTTGTCCGTGTTAGCAATCTCCAAGGAAGCTTTTGATCACCCCAGCTCGGCTTCCAGGTTCTTGACCTGACTGGCGGCGTCAGTCACCTTTTACCGGAGTCTATGAATCCAGTCCATCACGAGATGTTGCTTCTGGATGGCCTACAAGAGGACACGTTAAGAGTTCAGAAAAGGAGAGTAACCGTGCAAACACTTGAACGAATTTGAATAAAACAAACGAAATTCGTACCCGGGTCATAGACTTGACCGAGGACTTCATGTGCCGGGTGTCCGGCACGTGGTCGCTGTCGGTCACGTTGCTCGGCAGCAGTAGAGCCTTTGTCAGGTCGAAAGCCAGGAGATGTTCTTTGTCACCAAGATCTCCTTACCCTGGTGCTTGAACTGTAGCTGCCATGGGGGAGTTGGCTTCGAGGCTTCAGCTGGTTGCTCAGTGCTCAATTCCGTAACAAGCTCGGCTGACGGATCTACAGACCGAGGCCTTTTTCCTGCTCAGTGACTCTCTTTGATGATTTGCGTCGCAACAGTT